TTGAGTTCTGAGATGAACAATCATTGACTTTGTACTTGATGACTTGTCCTTGGCAAGTTCTGAGTTGCCTATATCCCTGTTCTTCTTGACAACAGTACATCTATTGGTGCCACTGTCTGTCTTCTCAAAGTGATCCCAGACAAACTGGGCGCAAAAGGGTTTGTGTAGACGGCAGGTCAGCGTGTTACTATTGAAGCACGTCCTTTGCATTAGGTTATGTGGTATTGAACAAAGGGACAATGGAGTGGTCATTTGAAAATGAAAAGAATCAACTAAATACTGTCACTCCTGAGTCCTCAAGTCTTGAAACTTGATTCTTGAGTGGTCAATGATCAATCCCAATCTTTAGCTCAAAGCAGGTCTCTTCCTCTGCTTTGAGGTCTCAAAGGGTGTGAGCTTGCCTCTTCCTGGCCAAATATTTTCCCAAAGAGCAGAGACATGATTCATATTTGTGAATTTATGTTCACTGCCATTACAAATTCCAACGGAACGGGAAGAATCATGTTTGAATCAAGGTTTTTTTGTTAGTTTTTGTTTTTAAGCCCCAGGTATCTGCCACATTCCTGGGTCTACCAGGAAAACCCCCGCTACCAGGGTACTCCCGCCAAGGTTCTTGGTCCGGTACCCGTTCTAGGTCTGTAGTTGAAAAAAATTGTTGGGTTTTCTGGGCTTGGGCACCGTTCTAGCTCACGGGCACTTCAAAACCCGGCTTTTGGGGGTTGGGGCTCATCCTGACTCATAACTTTAGCTAATTTATTCAAAACCTCTCATCAAGTATGTTTTGAGTAATTGATTTATAGTTATTTGAAAAGAGTGTATAGAAAGAAAAGTAGAAAATATGAAATCTAGATTTCATTTAAAAAGAAAAAGAATCTTCATTATCAAATAGAACAATAAAAGAAAAAGATATGTTTGAATATTTAATTATATATATTCTTTGAGATTTCATTGACCTTTCATGCTTGGGCATAGGCAGTGTATCATTGGTACAAATTTCACAAAATAGCACCATATGCATGATTGATGATACATTCTCTGTTGTGCAGCCTCTCAACTTAAGTTTCCACTAACCTCAATTGAGAGCAGCATTCATCTTGAATTCTATAATGACAATTTCTGAGTTTGTTCATTACTCAATGTACTGAAGAATAAGATTTGATTGCATAGGTCTTGAGCTAACTAAATTAATTATGGAGGCCAATGGCACTGCCAACATAGATGCCTTGGGTTGAATATCATTTCGGTAATCAAGAATGAATCAATTGATCCAGTACAAATGGAACCAGCCTTCTGTTTTAGCCATCCCAAAGCGGATAGAACCTTTGAGACCAAAGGAAAGGTCCAAACAAAAGAAGGAACTAATAACCCTATGTCAAGAACCATGAGTCAGCCACTTAGCTGAAAAGGGTATAAAGGTCAGATGGTTGTCTATCCACAAGAAGAGGACACTTCATCTTGCCACTTCAGAAAATCTACTAGAGCTCTAGTTATTCAAAAGGTCCAGCTATCATCTAGAAATCCTATACAATAGTTCCACCTACCTGATAATCAAGAACCACTCTATCTTTTTCTCCTCACAAGAAGTTGTCTATTCTTATCCTTGGAATTAACTTGGTCTAAACACCATTATTCTAGCAACACTTAGTTGACTAGATCCCTGCAGTGTTACACTCAGGCATCCTTTCAAAGAACCTTTCTTCTCAAGAAAAAGACGCGGTTTAAGCCTGACCAACTCTTAGCTATTAAATTTAATAGTAAGCTGTGTATTAGTCTGACTATCAGTTCAAACCTAATTGTTTTTCTTGATAATTAGCATAAAATACTAATCAGAAATTGATTCTTTTTAGAATACTTTCAACTTCATCCTAAGTAACCAATAGGATCAGTCAGGGTTACGTGATTTGGAAATTGACTAGACTGTCTTTACGTACAAGTAAGTGGCATCCCTGACATCATGGGTGGCAAATCCTTGGACAGACGTTGTCCAAGCTGTCCATCCAAGGTATTCTGTTGTGCTGAGGATTACCTTGGATACCTCAGATTAAAAAATCTGAGGTAAATATGTTGTCAGTGTGAGTAATCAAAGAAGTTGAAAAAACACAGACATTGTGAATGTAAGATTCAGATTGAAAGTCAAACCAAGAGCAAAGGAACAATGAAGTAACAGGAACATAAGTGGAACTGGCAAAAGGGATTGATGCAAGAGTGATAAGGTGGTTGAATAGTTATTAAACTTGACATGATTGGTAGCACAGGATGCAGCCACTTTCTTAGGTTTGGTGTCCTGCTTCCATTCCAAGTTGAGTGAGAATTCTACAAGGAATGATCTGGCAGATTGGGCGTGAGAGACATTGACGTTGAGGACTAAAGTTTTCATATTCCGCAAGTGGTATATCTCAGTAATGAAATGTGGCTGTGTCTCAGGGGATACTTGCTTGCTTTCTGCTCAATTCTGCTTCCTCAACTTGGCTCAGAAATTTTATTGTCCTTTGTATGTTCTCTCAGGTGGTACATACTGCATTGCTCAAGTAACATGAGCTGATGCGCCATGGCAAAGCAGAGCAGAATCAGCAGGATTTGGCAACAACCAATTTGGGTGACATCAACATCATGACTTGCATCACCAATATCCAATATGGAAGACAACCATAGGTCAGCTGAGCTGATCCACAAAAATCCAACTTTTGGTCTTGGCACTGCCAACATAGATACCTCGGATTGAAAAATTCAAGGCATGATCATCAGATTCATATCCTTGAACAGAATCTTCTTAAGGTTTTGTTCTGAGGTATTGTTTGGCGCCAAAAATACCTTGGATCAATTCCTCAGAAAGATTCTGTGTGAGGCTTTCAGTCCGATGATACCTTGGATCTTTCAATCCGATGTAAGTTTGTTGCCTGTGTGGGTCGGCAATAGAATTCCGACATTTGTGTTGGATTGGACTGGGTGTTCTTGGATGACGGTAACCTTGGATATGGTATCCAAGTATTTGATCTGAGGCTTCTATCAGGACCAAAGAAAGCCTTTGATCATTTCCTCAGACAATTTGTCCTCAAGGGAATCTATCTTTGAATGATTTGAATTGTGTTAAGTTAGGGGCAGATGAACTCACATGTGGAGCATGATATGCACAAGTCAACAAACAACTATTGGCATGACAACAGCTTCACATACAGATTGGCACTTCATACAGATCAGCAAGTAGGGTTTTGACTGCATGAGAGCCAGATTTTGTCTAGTTAGGTTAGGGCCATGTACAAAACCCTGCTCTAGGCATTACTTAAGTAGGGTTAAATCTGACTGTACGTATATAAACAGGTCGGGTTCAAGTCCCAAGTCTTTTATTTACATTAACCTTTCCTCCCTTTACATTTCCAATTGAATGTTTGGTCACACATCTTAACTCGCATACCTTCGATAACGCCATTGCTCTACTGCGTGACTGAGGATCATTAACAAATTGAATCAAGCTGTCTTTTGAGTTCTACCTACGATCACACTAGTTGAACATTTCCACTTCTCATTCAAAGTTTGACTCAGCAAAGATCTCAAAAGCTTTGAATGTTGTAAAGGTCAGTTTTTATTCTCCTTCAAATGCCACCTTGGCTCTAGCCAACTTCAGATTTTAACTCAACTTGTCCTTCATTGAAGTCATCCAGTCCCACATTCTGCCATCAAGCCTGATCCAACACCAAGTAACACAATAACTTCCCATTTCATATTTATCAATCACAACTAAAAGTAGGTATGATCCCAAGTAAACCTTTTTGACTATCCCTTCATGCTATCTTGCTCATAAGTCTTTCATCTGTTTTTCACCCCTCATTTTCCTTGAAACCCTTTATCTTCACCTGTAGTTTACAGGTGAGACAGTCTCTATCTTGCATCTCATTCAACTCTTCAGGTTTCCTTTTGTTGGGATTGTACATTCTCTCTCAGTATGACGTCTTCGACCAGCTTCGACCGTCAACTGAATTTCTCCATCTTTTTTCCAATTTCTTCCCCTTTCATCTGATCTTTTCAACCCCTTTAGTTATGTGACAGTGTTCACTTTTACATAGCTTTGTCATTCGATACTTACGCTTGGTTTTATCTGAACTCGTTCTATTCTGAAACAGACCGAGCTCTGAGTATCTACTACATATCAGGAGTCATCACAATCAATTGGTTAGTTATTTATAGGATTTTTTGGGGGTTTTTTAAGTTCATCCTTATTGAAATTATAACTACCTAAATATCTCTAAAAACCTATCTATGACTTACCGTTTCATTTGCTCAATATGGGGAACTGAACTTTTTTTCGATTTTGTTCAACTCATTTAAAACTCAAGGACAAAACTACTTTCAAGCCCTTACCAGAACCTCATCAAGCCTTTCTAGTTAAACTTCCTTTTACTAGCCATGGTCAGTCACATTTTGGATTGTATCATTCATTCTTCTCCCCTCTTGTCGATCTCTGTCTATGAAAATCAAAACTATCAAACTCGAGATATCAAACAACCACTCAAACCCGCCAACAATACACACAATGTCAACACAGACACGAACGCCTAAACTCGAAGCTACTACATCAATACGGATTTTATTTCTATAACACATTCTTTCATCATTCTTTAAGATGCATTTAGAATTTTCCTGATGATGATGGATAGTCAATCACTAGTAGGCCCACGTCCTCGAGTGAATCAAAATCATCTAGAAGCTTGACTCATCCTCACATTATCACGATACCTGATTCAGCTTCCTCGGTTTCATGTCCCTCTTCAACCTCATCCTGCGAAGGTTCCTCATTTTCATTTCCAAGGATTGTACCGCGTGAGCCAGGTCACAAGCGGCGTAGGATGAACACAAGATTAGGTTCATCGTCCTTTTCATTTCCAACTCCACCACCCTCACCTAACTATCTTCATCTATCTTCAAAAGCAGTCAACACTTCCAAAAGACCCATCTCTCCGCTCGAATTCGAACTACCTTCCCCTCTTGGCTCGCAGCCTTCACGCATGTGTCGGCTGAACCTCGATCGCTCTCTCATGGTCCCTCCTCGTCCTCCACGACTCCCAACCGACGAACTGGCTAGGCCATTTGATCCACGTCTTTCACCTTCCTATACTCTACCACCGCCTTACATACTACCGTCCCCTTCCTTCATGGACACGGGTGTCTGCAATCAAATCTCAACTTGTATCCGCAATACCGAAAACCCCTATTCAGTCTCCATCTCACCAAACCTGGTTGGTCAACTTGCCAGGCAATCAACCAGGTTACGGCCAGGTCGGCCTCCTAATACGACTTGCCCAGGTAGTGGTACATCAACCCCAGTGCTTAGGATGAGGGCGGAAGACTTTGAGCTCAACCGGGACCGAAACCGGGACGCCGAACAAAACAAATGGTGGCACTGGTCAAGACCGTGTAAGAAAACTGGAGATGCGAATCATTCCGCGTACTCTCCAGTGAGGTGTGAAGACCTTGAAGTGGATGATGAGGATGGCATTGTTACAAAATGTGCGATAGTTTGTCCTTTAGATGGAGAATTCACGCATCCTAATGATAAGTCAAAATGGCGAGTGAAAAACGGATTATGAAGGCCAAAGTTTTTGAGTCAAACGATGACAGTGCGACATATGCAGATTAAATCATGTGCTTTACCAGATGTATGTTGTGATGGGGGACATGGTCTTGGTTCGAGAGTTCCTGCGTATACTCAAGTGAATAATGTCGTCTTCAAGAATATTATGTATAATGAAGGATTTTGGCTTTCAATCCGGGTTTCAGCCTTCACCATCTTGTCCCCACAACGCAGTACCCCATCCAACTAGAGAGTTCAAAAGTGAATCTGTTTGATTGCATTGTAACCCTGTTCTCAGTACTGAAGGACTCCCTGTCACCTAATTTGACATAAGTCTTACTTTTTACTTTTCTTTACTATCTATTTATCTAATTCCTCTTTGGTTTCTGTTTCATTGTATCTGGCTCATTATTACTATTACTTTTTTTTTGTTATTTTTAATTCCTTCTGATTGACTTTTTAAGTATATATTTTTGATAGGACATTTTCAAAGAAAAAAAAGATTATGTGAAGGCAAAAATTTTCGTGACCCATGTGGCTGTTGTTGTCTCACCTTAGAATTAGCTCTTCTACAAACCTAACACAAGTTCAATTGTGCAGAAGTTCCCCCAGGCTGATGTACAAGGGACTTGCTCTTTAAACAACATCTCTTGCATGTCTGATAGCCTCAAAAAGTCAACTTTAGTTTGCATTGGGATAGAATCCTGCCCTCATTTGGATTTCAACACCAAAACTGCTGTGCAGCACAATAAATTTCAAGCCATTTCACTGTTTGGTGGAGTCTCTGCTATACACTGCTCTGTAATGGGATTGATATTTGGTTGCTAACTTAACGCAAAGCCAAAATGTTGCAGCACTCTTTTAACCTTATAAGATTTGATGCCAGGGAGAGGGACTTGCAACTTATCACCTGCTTTTGATGTGCAAGCAGGGACCCAAAAAGCCTTGAATGGGTGACTCCCCTTCACAGTATTGTCTCTGCTGTAGTTTGGACAGTACAATTTCTTGGTGGAGATTAAAAGGTTCAGATGCTCAGATAAAGTTGATACAGTGCTTACCCCTGAAAACAAGAAAATCAAATCAGATCTCCAAAACCTATCCCTCCTTCCAAAACTTGCCTTTTTTGGATTCCAAAAGTGGTTTTGGGATTGTGGAATTGAGGACTGTGTGTCTATATCTTTTTGAAACAATCTATAGTTTTTTCTTGGTTTTCAATTTTCAATCTTCAGGGCACAACCCTGTTCTACATTTCCTTATTTCCAGCAATAAGCACTATAGCAACGCAGCAACAGTTACTGCACTGGTACCGGTACCGTGCAGTTCCGTCACTACCCTGCTCAGTACTGTACCTTGTAGTACCGTACCGGGTGCGGGCTACAGTACTGGAGGCCCTCAGAAGGCCATTTTTTTAAAAGGTACGGTACCAGGTACAGTACCGGGAATCTGGTGACGGTACAGGTACTGTGTAGTACTGGTACCCGTGATCCGGGGCACTGTTCCGTACCGTACCTTCAAATACTGTACAGTACCTAGACAGTACCTGACCCAAACCAGCAAGGGGCGAACTGGTGTCAATCAACTCCAGTCCATCAACCACACCGTACCTTTCCGAAGATCCGAACGAACTAGGCGTTAATCGTGAGTCCATCACACCCTTTTGGATCTAATGAACTCCTTGCGTCACATCCTTCGCTGACCAAACACTTTACGTTCTACTTCCAGGTACGCCATGATCCCTTTTACTGTACATGTACGACTGTTGCGAAGTGGGCAAACGACTATAATATAAGACCATATCAGACGGTTAGTGTCCTTTGTCCCATCCGATTTCTTTTAAACTATTCACAACCATCGAATTTCCATTTCTTTTTCGATATCTTTTTATCCAATTTCATCTTTAGTTTCATCTTTAGAATCCTTTCCAAACTTCAACCACCAGCAACCATGTCATCATCGTCTGTCTCCATTTCACAACCAAGCCGCCATAGTAGTCGTCCGTCTCCAGCTCGGAAGCAATCCCACATGATCACCTTACCCGGTGATTCACGCCGTTCTTATCGCCGTGAAGAAGTCGATTCCGATTCAGATGCCTTGGTTTATCAATCCACCAGTACCAGTAAGAAACGCAAACGTGTTGAAGAGGAGTCGGACTATGGGGAACAATCACCTTCTCGTGATTGTTCTGGTACTCCTGTTGAATCTAGTCCTCCACGACGAACATCGAAGAAACAAGCTCGACACGAATCGACTTCTTCGAAGAAGCAGGGAACAAAGAAGCCTTCGAGTTCAAGACAATCCAAAGTCTCCAGTCGAAAAGCGAAACAACCTATTTTACCCGCTTCAGCTTCTGGCGGTGTGAAGCTCCAAATCGACCTAGTTCAAGATTCAGACGAGGAGAATCTCAAAGTAGTCAAAGAAGACCGAGATCCTCATCCAGATGATCGGTATGATCCTATCAGTGATTACTTTGAGGCTGGGAAGCATGGTCCAAAAGATGTAAGTCTTACATCTTAATATTTAATATTTATTTTATGTATCTCATAACCCTTTGTCAACATATCAGCTCCCCGGCGTATTAGGCACCTATCCCTGCAAGTGGTGCAAACAGGACGTTCGCAGCGCAGGCGGTACTTCAGGCCTATGGAGCCATCGAGATGGATCCAAGCAGCCTACCAAGTCTGGTAAGGCTGGATGCAAGGCAAGGAACACAGCCATCGAGGCTGGATGCCGGCTTCCACCCACCGAATTTCAACTCCGAAACGAAGCCACCAGCACTGCAGACGGTCAAGGGTTGATCACCACTTTCGCCCATGTTGTTCCCAAGTTCGACAACAAGATTCTCAATCAAATGCTTGGGATGTGGGTCATTTGGACTGCCCAGCCATGGCGCCGCGTTGAAGACCCTTACCTTCGAGCAACGTTCTGGTATGCTAACCCAAGCCTGGCTCGCAGCGCTACGTAGCGCTACTAGCCAGGAAAACGGTAGTGTAGTGATGGAAAATAACCACCAGGCTTGGTAGTTTTAGCGGTGGCGGAAAACAAAAATTAGGCAAAAAACATAGCGAAAAGCGCTGTTGATTTACGCCGCGCTTCTCAGCGCTACAAGCAAAAAAGTAGTTTTTTCTCAAATTTTGAGGAGACGATAAAAGTAAAAAGAAAAAACAAAAAATGACCGTAAACGAGTGTAAAGAAAAGGTAAAGGAATCATTTGAAGGAGTGTAAAGAAACAAAAACATTCAAAAAGGTATTGAGGAAGATATTTTGATAAAAAAAACTCAAGCACGAGTTTTGCGAGATTTCTTGGAGATAGCTTTCTTTGCAAAGTCCAATACCTTGCCAACCTCAGCATAATCCCCAATTAGAGGGACACCTTCCCTCATCCATATCGTACTACAAACTAACATCTCGGTCATTCGCGGGTTTAAACCACCTCGATCATCGGTACAAACTTGTCCGGCGATAGAGAATGAACGCTCGGGAGGACTTGAAGGAGTCGGTGAACATGTGCGTCTCTCACATCTCGGACACCATCAAACAAGCCTCGGCGAGAGTCAGATGACGGGACAATCATCCCAGGGGCTCGTCTTGCTGGGGTAACTATGCGAGAAGAGCGTCGAGGGGCTGTATGACCATTGTCGGTCTCGTATCCAGAAGACAAAAACGAATCAATGGTTGGTTGCATGGTTAGATTAGACATGTTTCGATATTTGATAACTAAGTTGCTTAGCAATTTAAAAGGGTAGAAAGACTAGAAGGAAATCAATCAATGAGATAAGGAAAATATGCGTCAAAAATTGGGATATCGGCAATCGATGAGAAAGGGAGAAAGGTTAGAGAGAAGAGAGAATATGTACTCACCTTGATATGCCATATGTCCAAACGACTGTCGATGGAAATTGTCCACATTTCGATAATTGACGCCAATATTGACCGGCACCAGATCCGAGCGAGAAAGTCCCCCAGATGTGTATGATCTGATTCTTGTGATCAATGGGTGATGGCTTGAGAGAAGAGTGGTAGAAGTCGGTGAATCGAGCGGCTGATAGAAGTCAACAAGGGGGGTTTGGTGAGTTTCAATGGGGGCGTTATAGTAGTGGGGGTGCCTGATACAGTAGGGAAGAGCGTACCGGTAGAAATCCCGGCCCCGAATTGGCTAGCGAAAAGCGTAAGTACCGGGATTTTCGAGTGCCGGGTGGCGCAGTGGCCACGCCTGGCACTACGCCCCGCCGCGCTCCGCGCTACTTTCAGCGCAGCGAGCCAGGCTTGGCTAACCCCAACGCACACCTGTTGGGCCAAATGTGGGTTGCTCAATTCGCACACGAGGCCTATATGGAGATGAGAGCGGTGGTTTTTGGCGAAATCAAAGTAAGTTATGGAAATACTCTGATGCTCTAGAACCTCATCCATAACTAATCTATCTCTTTAGTCGCTTACTAGCAAATTTGGCCTGATCCATGACGCGTGGACCACGAAGGGAAATCGTTATGGATTCCTTGGGGCGACTGTAACTTTTGTTACAAAAGATTGGAAGTTTGTGACACGTCACCTGTGCCTTAAACTGATTGCATGGCATCACAAGGGTGATTGGCTCGCCGAGCCATTGATCAACCTTTTGGTCAAACATGGTATCTATACAAAGATAAGTCCTTTCTAAGTATATCTTTTATATTTTCCAACTTTGATCTCTTATTTGTTCAGCTGATCTCTCATCTGTTATCCACATGTTGGCACAGACTCACGACTCCGGCAGCAACAACAATACTTTAGCCGAAGCCATGCAAGTGCGGTTGTCAAAGTATGCGGCCGATCACCAAGAAGATTTTGATTGGAAACACGAGAACCACAGAGTACGTTGTGTTTGTCACAAACTCGCGCTGATGGTGAACGCTGGATTACAGGCGCTGGGAATCAAAGCGCCCCCGCCACCCCTCGTCAAATCAACAATGCTGGGCAACTTTCCAATTCCAACTAATACACTTCAATCTATTCCCGAGGAAGAAGAAACACCTGAGAATG